ATATATAATAGGAAAAAGGAAAATAATATATATAAATAATATATCGATATATATATAGTAATATATCGAGCCTGAAAGCGGAGATCGATGGATCGATAAATCGAAGAAAAAAAATATATAAGTATATTTAGAAAAAGAAAAAAAAAAAGGAAGGAAGAAAGGGTACGTAAATTTTCTGCGTTCTCCTTCGATCGAGATTCTAAGAAATCTCGTTCTAACATATACACTACTGTATGCATAAGCGAAGAACAATTGGACCGTTTAAACGGAACTTGTCTCTGACATCCGAGGCGGGCACCAAGTTGATGTTTAGTACGAGATATCCGATATACGAAGCGATAAAAGGCAACCGGGGAACGTTCGAGCATGCTTCGAAGCGTGACTAATAAGAATCATGGTTATACGAATGACTTATATGCTCCAATATTCTTTCATTTTCTAATAAATAAATCCCTACGTGTATATATGTTAACATTAAAGTGCAGAAATCAATTATTGTGCAGATTATCTAGGTAATATGTACACATTTTTTCAACTATTCGACTATAAAAACTTAATTCTCCCATACTTCCACGTTGTATGGGCAGAAGGAATGAATATTGAAAAAGATACGAATTTAATTATTAATAATTAATAACAAATTCTATTATTCTGTTACTATAAAGATCAGCACGGTTAATAGTTTAGGTGTTCTACTTAAAATCACTTTGTTTTCCCCCTCTTATACTCTAAATATTCCATTGAAGTATATTTTAAAGATTGACCAAAATCCTTTGGGCATTTTATATAATGCCTGTTAGTAATACATTGATCGTAACATATATATATATATATATGCTGGGGTTTAATAACAAAAGGGTTAATATCTTACATTAGTTCGATTGTTTTTTCATTTATATCAAATAAATTCGATCTGTATAGTTCATTTATTTTCTAACGTATGTATTATTTGTTTTTTTTCTCTTCTACAAAATATACATATTCGAATTCTTATATTATAACGAAAATGAACGAGATGAAAAATAATGGATTTTCCGGATTACGGGAAATCGGAAAATTCGTAGTTTCTTAGTTAGAAACGAGCACGTAGTACGCGGTGTCGAGTATATCGGTAGAGTGAGGCACGTGTAACTGGAACGGGATGAAACTGGACACCAATAACCCACGTACACGCCGCCGGCATGGTAAAAAGAGATGGTGATAGAAAGAGAGAGAGAGAGAGAGAGAGAGAGAGAGAGAGAGAGAGAGAGAGAGAGAAAGAAAAAGGAAGGAAAATAGATGACGAAGTGAACGTATAAGGCACGTTGAAAACAAAAAATCGAACGAACAAGACTTTTTCTCCTAAATGGGTTGGGTATGAGGGGCAGGGTGGGTGGTAGGGAATTAGGTAGGATTGATTTTATTCGACGTGAAATATATCATTGAATGAAATAATGATTAATATAATAAATGAAAAAAAAGAAAGAGTAATCATTTTCCCATTTGACAGTGAGTAATTTCATATCGGATCTACAAAATGGTTACGTGATCAATGCTTCGAAGGATCTGGAATCTTCCGTATCTGCTGGTTTAAACAAAAGCCTAACTTCTCATCATCCGTCCTTGAGTATTCATCATCCTCACCATAGCTTGCACAGTTCTAATACGACAATTTCGATTCACTCTACAACACCGTCCCAACAACAACAGCAACAGCAACAACAACAACAGCAGCAACAGCATCATCATCTTGAAGATAAAGTGTCTTCACCTAGTGGAGGACTTCACAGTTCAACGACTAATAGTAATTCTTCGACACCCTCTGCACCGTCAACGCCTACTGCTGGCACAGACAACAGTGCTGGTTCGAATACTGCAACGAGTAGTAATAACAATAGTAATGGTAGTAATGTTTCAACTGCAACAAGCAAACCACCTTACAGTTACGTTGCTCTGATAGCCATGGCGATACAACACAGTGCTGAAAAGAGGGCGACTCTTAGCGAAATTTATGCTTACATCACTTCCAAATTTCCGTATTATCAGAACAATAAGAAGGGATGGCAAAATTCTATTAGGCATAATTTATCATTAAACGAATGTTTCGTCAAGATACCACGCGAGGGTGGCGCCGAGAGGAAGGGAAACTTTTGGACACTCGGTATGTAAAACATTGAAATAATATTCAATTAGTTGTTTCTCTCGCGTTCAAAAATAAAATTCTTAATAAGAAGGTATCATAAGGAATTTGGACATCAACAAAAGAAGTAGAACTTATCCAACTTATCAAAATTAAGTTCTACTTCTTTTTTTGATGTCCAAATTTCCTATGATACCTTCTTATTAATTGAAATAACATATTTGTCTTAATTTATTTTCTTTAACACGTTCTTTGCTTATAAGTGATTATTCGGTCGAGTTTCTCGCGAGGTCAGAACACGATGTAATATCTTTTTTATTCTAAATACAAATTAATCAAATATATAATACTTTTATATATATATATATATATTTCGTATATTTGATACTTATATTTCAATGTTCGTTTCATTAAATACCTTTTAAAGTACCAATTTAATAATCCTATTTAACTTGAACAATAAGAACAAGTCGCTTATGGTTTCGGCCATGATTTTTCCACGAAAACAAAAACCCATCATCCAAATATCGATAACTTGGCGACGAACGTGTTAAACATGATTACAAATTTAATTAATAGATCAAGTATCAATCATTTTTCATTCATTTAGATCCAAGTTTCGAGGACATGTTCGAAAATGGTAATTACAGAAGACGCAGGCGTATGAAACGTCCATACAGAAATGCTCCTTACCCAAAATCTATTTTCGGTGATCATTTCTCGCCGACGCACGTCCATCTTGGTCCTAGAAATTTATTCGCTCATACGCCATCTTCTTATGCACCTACAACATACGCGCGATACGATACGAGGTATTTTTATATTCAATAATATTTGAAATGATTTAGGTTGTCCGGAAAGTTCGTGCCGATTTTCGATAGGTGTCATCAAGTTTTGATAGGACAGAATTATTTAAGTTACCCTTAAAGATGGATAAAGGTTGTTAAACAGAATGACACTTTATATATTGTATAATTTAATAAATAAATATATTAACCAAAACACTTAAATGCGTTGTGTTTCAATTTTCCGTGAAAATCGGCACGATTCTTTTGGACAACTTAATAATTTCAACACGCGTTCGTTTCTTTCTTAAGGGGCACACCTAGTGTGACCGTCTAAAAAAAAGGTGATTTTTAGAAATTTTTTTAAAGAAAACTACTGAATGAAATATTTTAAAATGTAGAGGATATATTTATACATAATTAACGAATATTAAATAAAATTTTCAAATGAAAAAAAGTAATTTTCAGCGAGTTATTCGCTATTTCCCAAGTCAGTATAAAAAAAGGGCCTAAACGGCTGCAGTGATTCCGGCCTTCACTGTGGATGAAATAAAAAAAAAAATACTGTTAATCTAGAAGGTATTACTTATACAATGACTTAAAATTGAGAAAAAATTGAAATTTAACAAAATGGCAGACTTTAAAAACAAAATCGAATTTTGCTAAAAATTTTGATGATTTTTGGCCTTCCAAAATTACATTTTTTATACAATCGAAAAACGTTTAAATCATTGTACAGAGAAACATATACGAAATAAGCAGAAAAAAAATCAAAGCGATCGGATGATTCTTCTTCAAGTTACAACTGCAACCAATGTGAAAAATGTAGTTTTGAGTAAAACGCGTTCAAAGATAAAATAATTGCTTTCTAATCCCTGAGTGGCTACTCTTTAGAAGGTTGTAACTCTAAAACTATTTGAAATATTTATTTGAAATTTCAGTATGTTATTTTTAAAGATATACACTATCAAAATATGCAAAAAAAAATCAAATCAATTTTTCCAAAATTTCACATAACCGATTAATTTCTCGATATTAATTTCCAGTAAGAAAATGTGATTTATTCATTTAATTTCATATTTCGTTTCAGCGGTTGGAGTCTTCAGCAACCACAATTATCCTATAGCCATTGTCAATCGGTAAGTAACTTTGAAATAAATATTCTATTTTTTAAGATATTTTCCTTATGATTTTTTCTCTTTTTCCTACGTTTGTACTTTGCAGCTTCAACCACAGTTGCAATCGATGCAATCAATGCAGATTCCGACGATGAACGGTTACAGTCAACTGAGTAGTTCGTTAAGTGAGTCTCTGCTCTATCCTCCGAACTTCAGTTCTTTGAGCTCGCGAATCATTAGACGATCGGACAAAGCTTTTCAAGGCAATTACCTGGATGTTCCAGGTGGAACGACTGGATCACCAGGATCGATGACCAATGGATCCTTTGGTGGCACGTTCACGGCTTGTGGTAGGAGACACGAACCTAGCATGGCGACTGAAACGATGCCAGCAAGATGCTATTGGCCGGAAAGTAAGTTCATTTCACATTTAATAATTATAATAACACGTATGTATGATTTAATAACACTTTCGTAAACATAAACTCCGTTTTAACGGGAAATATTTAACCGTTTTAACAATATTAACTCGTTGTATTCTAACTTTTTCTATGATTTCTATTTTGATATTAGATTGGTGCGCGTGAAATGTCGAATTCTGTCGAAATGTGACTCTGGCAATGAACAGTACGACTATAAACTAAATTATACCAAAATTAAAGAAAAATAACAAAAACGTTCACGTGTAAATAAAATCCGACATGAATTTCATATGCACCAATCTAATATTTATTTTTTTTTCCGTTTTATTTACGTTCGTTTCGATTGGACTTACATTAGGGTACTTTTAAGAATACATTTTCGAGAAACACGTTCGCGAAATTATTAATAATTATCTTGACGATCTTTCAATTCGTTCCGTACTTGTATCGCAGTGGTAAACGTGAAAGAGGAACCAGGTAGTACACCGGCATCAACATCAGCCGTCGGCGGTGTTCCACCGACCATGATGGGAACCACAGTTGCATCGAGTGTTTCCGCGCCAGCATTTCCCTCCGTCGAATTTCAAACGCGATCGAAGTGTTTCATGTGAATCGTCTAATCGATCTATTCGATATACATATATATATATAAAAAAAAGATAAAAAAGGGACACTTCGTTTTTGTTCACTTTTCGGTACGTAAATACGTACCAGGTGTTATCATAATTCTCTCTCTCTCTCTCTCTCTCTCTCTCTCTCTCTCTCTCTCTTTCTTCTTTTCTTTTTTCTCTTGGAATAATTTTGATTAACATCTAAATCCTACCGACGCTTCATATAAAGTGTACAACAATTTCTATTAATTTATATTATTTAAAGAAAAGTGTATATTCCCCAATATGGTGAATGAGATTTTACCCAGTTGAATAGCTAACGATATATATTTTATTTTACTTTATTTACGTTAGAAACGTTTAATGTAACGTATCTTTTTATGCATTTTTATCGTATTTTTTTGTCTACAAATGATAAGAGGATTTTTTGAAAAATTTATGCGCGCGGTAGGTTTAGTGTTAAAAAAAAAAACAAATATATATATATATATATATTATATAATATATTAAAATATAATTTGTTAATTATTAAATTAACAAAAATTACAAAAAGAAAAACACAAAACAACGTTCCTTTCGAAAATAATAAAAACATAATTGAAATACTCGAAACAACATTTATTAAACAACGAAATATTCTTAAGTATTATATTTCGCTTCGGTATTTTATCTTATATTTTTGGATTTTTGGTACAACCAAGGATAATAATATTCTAGGATTTTCGTTCGCGCGTTACCATTTTGAATCTCACGGGACAAAATGACAGATTGACGAAGGACGAAGAGTAAAAGCTAACGGAATTTGTAAAGCAACGATGCAAGTTGATGACGATGACGACGACGATGACGATGATGATAAGCGAAATACATCGTCGTGAACCATTTAAAAACGTTTCTTTTAGATTCCATGTGAGAAAGTGAGAAAGAGAAAAGAATAAATAGAGCACGAGTGTTTATCAATTAGCACGGTAAACTTATTCCTTCCTTCTTTCCGTTAAAACGATGAATTCTCAAATCTTTTTCTCTCTTTTCTTTTTCTTTTTTAATTTCCTTCTTCTTCTTCTTCTTATTCTTATTCTTTTTCTCCTATTCGAATATTTATTTAAAAATATCCGAGTTAAGAAACACAAAAAAAAAAAAGAAAAAGAAAAAGAAAAGAAAACACAATACTGCAAAGCGATATACTTATTGTAATTGCAATTTTAAATGTAACGAAAGATGTATAAATGTTTTTATCAAAAATTATCGCAAATATGTCCTTTAGTCGTAACGATTATTAAAATATTATGACGATAAGGACGCTTAGATTATTATTATTATAATCTATTATTAATTATTATTACTATTATTATTATTATTATTATTATTAAACGATCTTACAGGTTATTATCGTTAACGGTTCATTTATTTTTTTTTTTTTACACAGCTGTAAATAATTAGTTAAGCGCACTATACACCCCAACTGTGAGTAAATAATAAGAATAAAAAGAAATTGCTTGTCGTCCACGAATTGCGTGTTTTATTATTTTTTTTTTCTTATCCTGCATTAGGCTACCTGTACGAACAGGTATACACGAAGTGTCAGAAATAATTAATTTATTATTAATTAATTATAAACGAACAAGAGATAAGATATATCTAATAGAAAATATAATACGTATTCGTTTATTGTTCGAATTGAATTGTTTCATTCGTATGAGAAAAGTGTATTCATAGATGCTCGAAACTAATGGGGGAGAGAGAAAAAATAAAAAAAGAAATAAAAAAAAGAAGAAGTAGGTAGTAGCCGGACGTTGGGAAACGACCAATGAACGGCTATGTTTGCGGAAACATTGTTTTGCAAACAAAACGAGCACCCGTGCGTTTTAATATATCTACCTATCCCGTAAAACGTAGAGAAAAGCCGCGTCAACACTGTGCTGCACCATGCACCGACTGCAAGAATAGCACGTGCACTTTATTTTCCACCTACTCTAACTCACCGTACGACCATTTTTCACATCCCCCCAGTCCAATTCTTTCTCTCTCTCTTTTTTCGATAATTATTATTAGTATAAAGATTTTATCGTTAATTCGACGGTAAAAAGGGGTTGATATGTAAATAATACATGTTACGATGTGATTGTGTTTCATGTCAAATGTAATATATATTATAATCAATTATAATATTGTTTAAAAATCCAAAAATTATATTTTGCGAGTTTTGCATGAATTCCATGGAAACGATATTATTATTATTTCTTTTTTTTTTTTTTTGTAAAATCAAGGTAAGTATTATGAGGATCTTATGGATAGTATAACTTTATTCGTATTTAATAGTTATCAACATGGTTTTACGAATCTCAGATTGAGAAAAATGAATTATTATTGAGATTAAAATTTAAACGCGAACTATTGGTGCTAATTAGAATTCTTCCGGAGATAATATATTTGTTTAACTGAAGATACTCATTTTTACGTATAATCGCGTTTTGCGTAGAATCATCCGTGCCACCTGTGCCCATAAGAAAACCAATTTACAACGAATTTAAAGTATCTCCGAAAGCTCAACGTAGAAAAGTTCTTGAGAAATTCTTAACGTTGAACTAACGCGCAACAGCTGTTCGCGTCTCCCGAATATTTTCTTTTTTTTTTTATTCATATTTTATTGTTCCCTCTTCGACGTATACATTATGGTGATTACAATGAAAACGAAAAAAAAAAAAAGAAAAAGAAAAAGAAAGAATCAAATTTATAAATATCCTACGTTTTTCCTACTTTTAGCTGAAAAAAGAAAGAAAAAGACATAAATAAATCTAATGTAGGATCCTAAAAAATAAAAAAGATTACTTTTTCAATAATAATAATAACTTTAGCGTATTATTTTTCATAAAATATATTCCGTTCATTTTTACGTTAAAATACGAAATAAAGTTATATACATTGCATATATATTTATAATAGTAAATAAATCATTCATTATTAAATGAATTTATAAATCATCATCAGTGTCTCGTATTATACGGAACATCCATTTGATCAATTTAAATGACTCATTATTATTATGTTTTTTTTTTAATCATTCGAAAAATGATGCTACAAACGAGACGACGTTGCAATCCATTATCGAATTTTATCGGGTTAAGGTAGGTAAATGTTTTTCGTTTTTAATTAATTCTTCGCATTGATATCTGTTATGTATAATACGTAATAATAATAATAATAAAAAAATATAAAAAACAAATAAGTTGAAATCCCTATAAACTTGTTTCGGGAACAGTTTCTTTCGTCTCTTCGTCATGGAAGTGTTAACGACAACTATGTTCAACGTTTTTCTATTTTTTTCTTTCTCTCTTTCTTTCTCTTTCAACGTACCTTTTTTCATGGCGAACGTGTTACGTGACGTTTTTAAGAAACTAAGTGTTCCCCACGGGACCACCGCATCTTCCTCTTCAAACAAAATTTTTCCTTGAATAAAATTAACGAGAAATAATATTATAATTTTATTATAATTACACTCTTATTAAATTATATTACGTTTTTATTAATTCGATACGTATTACTTTCTTATTAATTACGAGGAAAACAAATTCATTAACGAGATCGATTTCGGTAATAGGTTGTTGACGTGTTAAAAAAAGAAAAGAAAAGAAACAAAATGATCTGTCCGTTTGCGCAGCGTCAGTGAAATGCGATATAAAAAGGTCGAAGTTATATGAGAAACGAAGTGGATTTAGTCGAACACTGTAAGGGACCGTTTTAACGAACCTAAATACGTGTTAGTATACCGTTCAGTTGACTCCCTTTTAATCCACCCATGAAAACGTACGATAATAAATATTACCACGATGCTGCGTCATTTCAAATTAAGAATTTCTATCTGCTAAACGTTTTAAAGTTCTTCAATGGATAGTCACAATTTTTTATCTATTATATATATAGATAATGTTCTATGAAAAAAATCAGATCAACGATCGATCAAATCTGTTAAAAAATTTATTTCGAAATTCAGTATCTGTATTTTTTGTTTGTTTTTTCCTCGAGACAAGGCAATTAATATAATTTTTGTAAGAAAAAATCAAAAGATATTCTCGATTGTAATAGAGAATTTACGTATAAAGAAACAAAAAAAAAAAAAGAATAGAAATAAATAATCATTGGTTTCAAGATCGAGAAGCAATCCACCTTTTAAGGTTTCTTTCTTTCTCTCTCTTTTTGTTCTTTTAGTTTTCTCCTTCTCCCTTTCCAGCCCCTTCCTTCCTCCTGTCGTTGAAGAAAAAAGAAAAAAAAAAAAAGTAAAGTTTCGCAGGGTGCAAAGCAATGACGCGGACAATTTGTATTCGGCCGTCAGCGAGAACCATTTCTATTTTCGAGCAAACTCACGCGGGATGATATCTTTTTATTTTCTCTATACCTCTCTCTCTCTCTCTCTCGTTCGTCGTCCTCTTCTTGATCTTTTTTTTTTCTTTTTTTCTTTTTCCAACGATCCAGAAAAGCGTGCGACGATGACTATACGTAAATCCGTGCGTCGGCGCGTGCTTTCTTTACGCGTTTATAATTAAAATATAAATTTAATTTAAAATAAACTTAAAACACCCGAGAGAGGATAAATATATATATATAAATTATTAATATTAATAATATCTTATTAATTATTATTATTAATAATATTTTATTTATATATATATTATATAATATATTAAAATATAATTTGTTAATTATTAAATTAACAAAAATTACAAAAAGAAAAACACAAAACAACGTTCCTTTCGAAAATAATAAAAACATAATTGAAATACTCGAAACAACATTTATTAAACAACGAAATATTCTTAAGTATTATATTTCGCTTCGGTATTTTATCTTATATTTTTGGATTTTTGGTACAACCAAGGATAATAATATTCTAGGATTTTCGTTCGCGCGTTACCATTTTGAATCTCACGGGACAAAATGACAGATTGACGAAGGACGAAGAGTAAAAGCTAACGGAATTTGTAAAGCAACGATGCAAGTTGATGACGATGACGACGACGATGACGATGATGATAAGCGAAATACATCGTCGTGAACCATTTAAAAACGTTTCTTTTAGATTCCATGTGAGAAAGTGAGAAAGAGAAAAGAATAAATAGAGCACGAGTGTTTATCAATTAGCACGGTAAACTTATTCCTTCCTTCTTTCCGTTAAAACGATGAATTCTCAAATCTTTTTCTCTCTTTTCTTTTTCTTTTTTAATTTCCTTCTTCTTCTTCTTCTTATTCTTATTCTTTTTCTCCTATTCGAATATTTATTTAAAAATATCCGAGTTAAGAAACACAAAAAAAAAAAAGAAAAAGAAAAAGAAAAGAAAACACAATACTGCAAAGCGATATACTTATTGTAATTGCAATTTTAAATGTAACGAAAGATGTATAAATGTTTTTATCAAAAATTATCGCAAATATGTCCTTTAGTCGTAACGATTATTAAAATATTATGACGATAAGGACGCTTAGATTATTATTATTATAATCTATTATTAATTATTATTACTATTATTATTATTATTATTATTATTAAACGATCTTACAGGTTATTATCGTTAACGGTTCATTTATTTTTTTTTTTTTACACAGCTGTAAATAATTAGTTAAGCGCACTATACACCCCAACTGTGAGTAAATAATAAGAATAAAAAGAAATTGCTTGTCGTCCACGAATTGCGTGTTTTATTATTTTTTTTTTCTTATCCTGCATTAGGCTACCTGTACGAACAGGTATACACGAAGTGTCAGAAATAATTAATTTATTATTAATTAATTATAAACGAACAAGAGATAAGATATATCTAATAGAAAATATAATACGTATTCGTTTATTGTTCGAATTGAATTGTTTCATTCGTATGAGAAAAGTGTATTCATAGATGCTCGAAACTAATGGGGGAGAGAGAAAAAATAAAAAAAGAAATAAAAAAAAGAAGAAGTAGGTAGTAGCCGGACGTTGGGAAACGACCAATGAACGGCTATGTTTGCGGAAACATTGTTTTGCAAACAAAACGAGCACCCGTGCGTTTTAATATATCTACCTATCCCGTAAAACGTAGAGAAAAGCCGCGTCAACACTGTGCTGCACCATGCACCGACTGCAAGAATAGCACGTGCACTTTATTTTCCACCTACTCTAACTCACCGTACGACCATTTTTCACATCCCCCCAGTCCAATTCTTTCTCTCTCTCTTTTTTCGATAATTATTATTAGTATAAAGATTTTATCGTTAATTCGACGGTAAAAAGGGGTTGATATGTAAATAATACATGTTACGATGTGATTGTGTTTCATGTCAAATGTAATATATATTATAATCAATTATAATATTGTTTAAAAATCCAAAAATTATATTTTGCGAGTTTTGCATGAATTCCATGGAAACGATATTATTATTATTTCTTTTTTTTTTTTTTTGTAAAATCAAGGTAAGTATTATGAGGATCTTATGGATAGTATAACTTTATTCGTATTTAATANTGTATTAATATATATAATTTGTATTAATATATATAATTTGTATTATATATATATATTCTGGTAACGTTAGATACGCGATACGGGAACCAATCATTGGATCATCGATCATGATGATAATGTCGAATATTTATTATTAAAAAACAAAAATGAGAATAAAAAAGAAAAAAAATTCATAAAAATGTATAAATGATATTTTACGTAGTACAAGACGTTATTGAAATTTTGTCAATGATTCGTTAAATATCATGACAATTTCCTGACATGATTCTTTACGACAAGCTTGTGGACAACTTTCCTCATGCGTTTTTTGCATCTGCCAGCAAATTGAACTCTCTCGAATGCTTACGTATGCCTTTTCTTAGTTTCCATTACTGGAAACGTTTCCCCCCGATGTAATACTTATTACATCGATATTTTTATTTTGATATGCTTAAATTTAAAAATAATTACATACCAATAATATTTATATGTATGAAAAATTTATAATAAATATTCGTAGGATCGTGTTTTAACGCGTGAAAGCTTTAGGAATAACGATTGAAAACGTTCAATACTGTTAACATAGAATAGTTATTATTAGTCAAATACGTATATTGAAAAGATTGCATTTGGACGATCCAAATTTATCATATGGTTTATGTTTCGTTGGAAAACGTAACTCCTTGCACCTACTCGTTTCCATTGAAACCAGGCAAAACGGTTTAAAAACGGCGTTATATTTTACCGGAACACGCGTGCTTCGATCCTTCTTTCCTCTTATTCTCTTTCTCCTTCTTCTTTCTTAAAAGTCGTCGGTGAGCACGTACGACTCGTACTAAACGTTCCTCTTTGTTTTTCTCGCGACACGTAACGCGTGCATCGGGGCTTAGTTTCTCTGTGCAAGGAGGCCACGAAAATCGAGTCACGTTCAAATTCGAAAGAAAAAGAGAAAAAGAGAAAAAGAAAAAGAAAAAGAAAAAGAAAACAGGAGAAAAGAGTTTGACACAATGAGAACAACGATATTATTGCATGATTATCGCATGTTATAAATAAAAATTTCGAAATTAATATGAATAACGAAATATATATTTGTACAACGACCTTCTTGATCTGGCATTCACGTGTAAACGTGTTTTTTAAGGACGCTATCTTGATAATCGAAATATCGAAAATAAATAAATACGAAATTACGATATTATAGAATTTAATCTACGTTAATATATGTAAATCGAATTATGTATTTTCGATTCATAATCATCCAGATTTAATCCTCTTGTTTTACATAATTTCATATAACTATGAATCCATTTATTTCCTATATAAAAGTAACTTTAAAATTAATTTTCTTTATATAAGTCTCTTTCAAAAGAGATATGATATTTTATTATGTAACTTTTCTTTCTTCTTTTTATCGTGTATTTCCAATTGGCTTCATTTTACTTCGGATCCATTTTAAATATCCGTTTTATATGAAGTTTAGATTGTTAGTACAAAAAGAGAAACACGATCGAATTTGCTGTACAATTAATTGTACTTCTCCTTACATTAACAATACATTTAAAATTCGATATACCATATGTTTATATATATATCTATTTATATATATATATATAAAATTATAAGTATGTATTATTAAGCAATCGCAGTCTTGCGTTATTTAAATTTTGAAATTGATGCGATTTCAATATAAAGTCAATAGATTTTTGTTGTAATACTTGTTTCTAAAGAAATCTCGTAGATTCTTTGGGGAATGACTGATGGAAGGGGAATGAAATTGTCGCTTGTGTAACAGATACGTTTAACGTTTTTTTATCTATCGGCTAATCCTCTTCCAAAAGATCGTCATCTTCCAAATTCACACCCTGAAATCATAAATATATTTCATTTATAAATGTATATATAGAATTATGTACATATAACATATAACATTTTTCTATATATATATATATGTATATATAAATTTCTTTAAAGTAAAACAACAAATATAATAAATAATGTAACTTATATAAATAATAATAATTTTTAGATTATACGTAACAATTATGTATACTTTTTAAAATGAAATTTCTAAAACAAATTTCAAAAAAATTAATGAACGTAGAATAAATATTTCTTGTTTTAAACGAATGATAATATAAATTTTGTTATTTAAAACTGAGGGTTTCGTTAAAAAAAAAAAAAGAAGAAGAAGAAGAAGAGGAAATGATTGATTGTAGAAGAGAGAAGCAGAGCGTGACAAAATCGAGGAACTTGCTGAAGTAACCATAACGTAGGAGCTATCCGAACCGACTCCCCAAGGCAAATGTTATGGCAACAAGGCTGTAAACAAAATACAGCGTGACTGGCTCGTGGGGTAAACGATATCGGTTACGCGTTGCGGACCTTAATGATTCGCTACTGATTCTTAAAATTCCCTACTCTTGTGTAGCAGTGTTAATAAAATGAATAACATAAATAATAATATATACATGAGATAGATATATTATATTTTCCTCTAAGATTCTTTGTAAATCTTTCTATTTTTGAATACTTGTGTTAGTTTACTATCTCAGATCATATATATTCTAAAGTTCAACTTATTCCTGTATGGTGTTACTAATTCCTCGAAGAATGACGTTTATTATCACGAACCTATCGCAAGACGAATCGTTTGTGTCACGCTTACAATAGGATTAACATTGCGCTCAGTGTGCAACGGATCTTTTTACTTGCGACCACCTGTAAAGATAGATCCATATGACGCAGCAGATTTCATTACTTCTAACATATCGGGTCCATTTCTTACATTTGGTTAAATTCTCCTCGATAATTATCTACTATCGTTTGTTTCTTTTTAAATAAAGACTCGATGCTAAAACTTAAAAATGGTGTTGAGACGTGCCATTAAACTTACTTTTTAATTGGATTCGTCTATTGTGTGTCAGCGTGCAAAAAAAATAAAATCAAATATGAGAGAGTAACATGCGGGAGTAATTTTAAGTAAAATAACAGAAGAATCGTATCAGAGCTGTGAAACTTGAAAAAAAGAAAATAGATTTAAAGAAGATTAAAGATTATGGCTCACAGTAGTATCGATCGTATCATCGAGTTCGAGATCAAGATCAAGATCATCATCGTCGACAGTTAATGGCCTGGAACTGCTTGTTTTGATCACCTTTTCTGAAACTGTACTTTTCGATAAACTCGATTTTCCTGTAATCTCAAGATTCTGTAGTCTGAGTAAAGCTTCCTGTGATTGCATAGTCTCAGGTTCTACGGTACTGGTACTGGTACTAGGACTAATAGCATAACTGAATTTTCCTGCTGCTTCAGCTGCCAACATTTCTTCTATAGGTTTACGGTCAATGTTGGGCTGTAATCAAATTGTATTCATAACTTATGTATCATAAATTTGTCTTATGAATAAATTGATCATTTTTTACCTGTATCGTTGGGAACATAGATGCAGGAATTTTCCTTTTGTTCTCTTCTCTTAAAAATTGTTCAACTTTCAGTGCTTCTCTATATCCGGGAAACAGATTTTCATATTGTTCTGGATCAGCTAAACTCTGTCCAGCTTTTTCGCTAACCGCTGATAATTTTTCTTTCCACAATTGAACAATAGATGATATCTTACTTGGCGCATAAGTTCTAGCAAAGAAAGCGGCTTCGGGGATTTTGTTCGTCTTCAACAGAATTTCAATACATTTGTCAATATCTCCGAGTATGAAATTCGATAGGAAAGAGATATTGTTTTTGCCCATTTCATCAGCATCAGCGCCAAGTTTTTGAATCATGCTTGCATTTCCAGTGCTAGTTGCTAACAGGAGTAAACCACCAAAGTCTTGAGCCTGATGTAGACATTCTTGAGCCAAGCATAATTTTCCTTTTTGCGTTGCTAAAGATGCTAATTGTCGCCACTTTTGTTGACTATTTGCTTCTTTAGCAAGTGAATGTGCTGTTGTCAAATCTCCCAAAGCCAATGCTAATTCAAACCTGTGATCTGGATCAGTTGAAACAGCCAATGCTTGTTCTTTGAATCCCTGTTAAATCATTTAAAAGATTGCTTTTTACTTTGGCACACATTATAACTTATTATTATATCATATTTTATTATATACAAACAAACCTGTTTTTCTAAGAAGTGAGCTACTCTTGTACGATGTTCTTTCGGTACAGTTGGTAATACTCTGTCAGCAGTTTCAAAATCTTTTCGCATAACAGCTGTTTGATATTCTAATACAGATAGTAATAAAGAATAAGAAACAACGGAGAGTTCTTTATCGCATAAATACAATCTATTGTCTCTTGGTACATAACCAAGTAAATACATTGGCCTATCTAGATGAAAAACTGTAACTACTTCTCCACCAACAAAGTAGTTTATTCTATTAACACTATTCGTATAGATGAAACAATCGCCAACCCAAAGACCTGTTTTTACTACTTCTGTCATTTCTGCTACCATCTAAAATAAAGATCATTTGTTATAGAATTTTGTATCTACTATAATAAGATTAAAACGAGAAAATATCGTTACCTCAAATGCATCTTCTATATCCTCTGCATTCTCAGCTGCATTAGCGATAGCATCAGCATGATACTTTAAAATGAAATATTGATCTGAGGTAGCTAATGCCAAAAGAGAAGCATTTTCAGCCCAATAAACATGCGTAGGCTGAATATCTATACGTCGAATTAATTTTAATGTATCCCAATCAAAGAAGGATAGGCCAGATCCAGATGATACACCAAGTAAATACCCTCCAAATATGCCTGTAATAAATAAGAACATTATGTAGAAGGGTATTAGTTTTAACAACATTTTATATAGAAATAGAATGAAATATTTACCATCTGCACCAAAGTCTGGTTTAAAACTTTTCTTCTCTTTGAAATTTTTGAAGACCTTTACAGACGTAGTACTTTCCCTAACAGCATACTGACTGGAATCAGCTGCCCAAACAAATTCTGATGCTTGTCCAAAAGCTTTATTTCTTAATGCCATAGAAGTATAAATTATATATTCTCCATCTCCACAAACTACTAAAAATCTTCCGTTTGGATTGTGCTGAATAGTTTGAGGATAGATTTCACAAGCACCCATATCTTTGACAGCTAGTGGTAATCGTTCACCATCCTGAGCTTCTTCTCCTAATGCCTTTAGATTTACTTGTTGGATTTCACTGTGTTTAGCCCATACTATTTTTCCACCTAAGGAATCCATAGAAACAGCTGGTTCTTCTCTACCAACTTTTACCATGACGCTTCCTTCATCATAACCTATAGCTACGTTATTTGAGCCTCGCATGCAAGCAATAGTCCAAACTCTTTCAAATCCATAATTGAGAGAAGATTCTAGTCTGTACGTTCCAGCATGCCATATTCTAACCGTACCATCTTCAGAACCGGTTAGAACTATAGGTAATTCTGGATGGAAACAGACTGCGGAGATATTTTGTGTATGGCCTTCCAATGTCTGAACGCAAGTTTTATTTTGGTAATCCCAAATTTTGACATATTTGTCATCCGCTCCTGATATTAAGTAAGGTTTATCTCCACCGTGATAATAATCCACACAATTGACACCTTTCTCATGACCCTCAAGTGTGAAATTAGCAGTGGATGATCCTAATTGCCATACCTTTACTGTTCTGTCTAAGGATGCACTGGCAAAAGTATTATTATCTTTCGGATTAAACACAATTTGCATGACATAATGCGTATGTCCTTCAAAGATTTGTTGACTGATCCAAGATTTTTCCCAATTCCATAATTTAATTGACATATCATCTTTTAAAAATAAAGTTAAAGATTAAAAACAACTTTTAATAAAATATATATTAGAATTAAAAATTTAATATAATTCCTCACCGCTACTGGTTAAAATAAATGGTTGAGTAGGATGTACTGCTATGCATCTGACATAATCACTATGAGCTTCAAAAGAATGTACACGCTCTAAAGTATTATAATTGAATACTCTAATCTGCATATCATCAGATCCTGTGACAACCCAATTCTTGCGAGGTACAAATTTTGCTGCTCGAACTGGCAAGTCGCATACTTCAAAAGTCTTAACAAGTGTTTGAGTTTCATGATTCCAAATGTTAACATTGCCTTGATATAAGGAACACAGCATCCATGGTTCTTTTGGATGCAGATCTACACATTTAACTCTATCTGATCTGGCGGTCAATTTTCTTTTAATATCTAACCTTAGAGGCTGCAAAAGAGACATACTGATTGTCTAGTTCTTACTGAGGATACAATTTTTGTGTTTGTAATTTGACACAGAGTAAATCTTTATAATAAATTAAATATTATTGTAAATATATATTAGTAAATGTTCATAATTAATAAAAACATATTTGATAATATGTAATAATAAATATTTTGACGTGTCGAGTGTTAGAAAGGAGTACTGAAGTCGATACACTTGTCTCTACAGGTGTTTATCGATAATTCTAATAATATATTTACAATATAAAAAGCAGGATGTTTAAAACGTACCATTTTAGATGTTTAAGGAATATTCACTGTAATATATATTATTAAATTCAACGAATAAAATCCAGTATTAGATCTAAACAAGAAACCTCGGCTATGAAGTTAAGACGTGGCCGATGATCCGAACAAAAATGGCGTCGACATGTGTCAACCGATAACCCAACAAACATCTTTCATTTAATTTATTCTTCAAATTTGTTAGAACTGATCAAAGATAGTAATTAAATATCGAAAGCACATTATGACGATGCTTCTCGATTTACATAAATTAAAGATTATATTTAAATTTGATACCAAGTATTGATAGTATCTTTCATGGTTATGTTAGCTCGATCGATAAATTTATTTTCTTTCTTACCAGTTACCATCTGTTTTGATTAAGTAGAAAACTGCATTACAAGATTACCATCTGCTTTAATAAGGTCGAAAACTGTATTAAAATATTACCACCCGCTTTGATAAGGTAGAAAACTGTAGTCGTTTCAAATTTATAAAGCGAATATTGATTTTAAGATATGCATGAATCTATTTAAAAATCAATAATTATAGAAAGACAAAAAATTGACAAAATTGATTTTTTTTATAATATAAATAATTATAATATTAAATAAATCATACAATTAATTATTTTAATTTTATGTTTTTTAGTTCACTGTCATAATTATTGCTGCACATAAAATTTTGTGAATCTTTGTTTAATTAATAATGTAATAATAATTTTGTATTAATTCTATCATTATTTTCGTGTCAAATTATTAGTCATTTAATTAAAAAGTTTTTGATTGAAATAATCAATGGCAACATTTGTAATAGATAGAAAGTTTAATTATTACGAAGGTCAAGTTTATAATGCACCACGTAAAACCATAAAAGGTGTATCGTTGATGAAAGACCTATTGAAAGGAACGAGGATTTAGGTGAAAAAGGTCACAGCTAAGAAACGAAAGATACAAATTGCGTCGGAAATAAGAAACGTTTAACATCTATTCAAGGCCGTGAATGATGTCGTCGAAGGTTCCGATGATGTGTAGAGATAACGGATCACCATCTGAATAATGGATGTATAGTTTGCTTCCTGAATTTCTGCAGGGCATTACGTGAAGATGTATTATATATGTTTCTTTCTTTTTTGTATTTTTTAAAAGGTCGAAGAATAATGTCTTCGAAGATAAAGAGGACACACACAGTCGAGGGCTTTCCAAAATTAAAAATTAAATAGTAATTCCATGTGATATATATTTTTGATGTGAAAATATATTCGTGAAATTATTTATTGATTAATGCTATCTTTGTTAAACCTCTTAAATGTTATTAAAATCTTCATAAATATACATTTCAAACATTCTAAATGCTAATTTTTGATGTGCCATTCTTATGTATACCATGTTATTACGTATACCACCGATTACGGGACACCCTGTATATATAGTTATTTTATTGTAATTATGAGATTGGTTCGACGATCCTTCGAAGTGTACAAATCTGACGTAACTTAAGTATTTTGTAGTCGTTGATCTTTGACATGCGTCATTTGTCTATTCAAATCTATTCTTTTTCGTGTTCATACTTGTAAACGTCCACTCAAGATATTCTTTTTCTTTTTTTTTTTGGTGTGTTTTATAGAATTTAAAAATGGACAACAACAATTCGTGAGTTTTGTTATTACCTGTCTAATTCAAAATTACAAAACCCCGTGGATTTTTGTTTATCTTTTGTAGAAATAGAAGAGTTCAGGAAGTAAAAGTAATGTCTTTACTTATATGTATATGTTACATGCATTTATATATGTATGTATATATACAAATCACGATTTCACCATTTTAACGATAAGTATCTACGTTTTTCCTTTTTATAAACATCGTAGAATTCTTGATCACGATGAGTCGGCCTAATAAGACCAAGTAAAAGTATCGTAAAAGTTGTTCGCGTGGTTAATTTCTAAGCTTGAAAAAAAAGAAAAAGAAAAAAGATTTCCCAAAGATTTCTCAATTCTTTTCTCAATTAGTAAAAACTAACACCATGGCCTATTTAAAAAAAAAAAAGTGACGAATCTGACTCGACAAATTTACAAAATGTTATTTTCACTCGTCGCGATGAAATTACATTGATTTCGTACGAGACCACAACTAATTGAACTAACTAATAATTTAAAATAAACGAGAGAGAGAGAGAGAAAAAAAAGGATGGACAAGTGGAAAATAAGTAGATAGTAGTAAAAAGAAGAAAAAAAGAAAAAGAAACGAAAATAATAGAACAATGAAAGAGATCCCTTTCTGTTATATTTATTCGTTCCACGCTCGATCGCACGTATCGTATCTTTTAAACGAAAGAAGAAAGTTCTTTCTCGTTATGGTTTTCTCTCTATTTTCTTTCCTCGTGGTGTTCCTTTTTTTTTTAATATATTATATTTATCGTTTTTACAGAGGTAATCCAGAATGTTTCGTTACACATGGCAAATTATTACACAAAGAATTCGTTGTGTTCATTCGTTCGTAGATATTTTTAGATAGAAGAAAAGATTTTTTGAATTCCTTTCGGAATCGAATTATAAATAAGAAAGATAAAGATAATCCTAGATAATTCCTAAATGATCCTATCAAAGATAAGAAGAAATTGAAGAAATCATCAGTAGGTGCCAATGTCGTTTATTTCATTTGCAAGATAGCGAAAGGAGGAACCTAAAACAGGACTCTCGAATAATTATTCGTTACCTCTCATCAGAATTTTAACGTGCTGGTATTTCAAAGAGAGAAAGAGAGAAAGAAAGAGAAAGAGATACACTGGAAAGATTGTGGAATTTTTCGAGAAATTCTTCGTTCAATTTATACAGAGTGTCTCAAGTGAACAAGGCTACATAAATATATTTTTTGTTGTTCTTTTTAATGATACAAAATATGTTTTTGATCGGTACTATTTTTTTCTTTATATTGAACGTAAGAAATTGAATACGGAATTTAATGAAACATTTTGTCACGATCTTTAAATGATCTCGGATATCAAGAATGTGATCAAATTGTAATGCCCACGGGCCCAAGTTGGGCCCGCCAGCCGAGTAAGGTTCGATCTCTCTCTTTCTTTTTCTTTCTCTCTTGGTTTGTTTCTTTTCATTCTTCTTAATCTATCTAGGTATCATCTTTATTGATCAAGTCCTTGCGAAATGAACGGTTACTTTTGCCGACTCGTGCTTGGCCGAATTAGCAGAAAGAACACAGAGATCAAGAAAATTGATTGGTTTGGTTATTTCGAATGAAAATTTATCGGATTTATAAGATACAAGAAAAGAAAGAAAAAAAAAAAAGAAAAAAAAAATAAATAAATAAAAAAGAATAATGATAGATGAAGAAAATTGGTATGATTTGACGGAATAGTTTGTAAGAGAAAATAAATTGGTATAGATATCGACTGTTTTTCTTCGATGATTGCGGTATTACTGATGTATTATTTATACGTTAGAACCTTAAATAGAGCTCCAAAGTTTTTTCTTTTTTTTTCTTTTTTCAAAATAAAATAAATATTATATTTCTTTTTCCTATCTATCTATCTATCTTTCTCTTTCTTTCTTTCTTTCCGCTTAATAAGTCATTCCTTTTTTTATATTTAACGATCCGATTGGAGATCGAAGAGGATAACAATTAAAAAAAAAAATATTGCAAATTAGTTGGAACTACTTGATGCATGACACAATTAAGTTTTGTCAAACGATACTGATCGAAGGAATAGATCTTTTTAGAGATAAATCGTTTATAAGTAGCATGCGTGTGTGAGTAAGATACTTATGTGTAATAGGATAGATGGATAATTTGATGGAATAGTTTGTACTCTATGGGAGAAAATAAACTGCCGTAGGAAAAAAAAAAAAAGAAAGAGAAAAAAACTGGACGAATATGTCGAGTTGAATGACGGCAAAATTACAGTGAAATAAATTTATATACGATCATGAAATTAGAACGATTCGAATCGATGACTGATCACGTTGAACGACAACAACAACAAAAAAAGAACTAAATTGCATAAATCTGCGATCCATCGATTACTATAAAAAGAAAAGTCCCGTACAAGATATGCCATTGTCCCAATGAGAGAAGAAAAAAAAAACACACATACACAGAATATGAAAAAAAAAATCTTTGAACTACTCTCGAGAAGGAAATAATTGTAAGAATGATTAAAAATTCGTTTATACGTTTATAATTCTACGAAGTTAATCATTTGATATTAGAATCTGTGTTGATCGCGTATAACGTAATTGATATTATACTTAAATAGATTGTATATTTCTACGAAACGATATTGTAACTATTATTCGCGAATAGAAATAATATATTATTGTAAAATAACTTTATTGAAAATCAAAAAAAAAAAGAAAGACGAATCGATATTTTAATCAATTTTAAAATAAGGCGAGGTGAGAAAATCGAAAATTAAAAAAAGTATATTACGAGAATAAAGATAAGGAAGAAAAATGAGGAATTAGTATGAGAAATATGAGGAAGAGGATACGATCTTAACGTAAGACTATACAATGCTAATGAGTAGAATGTATACGAAGCAGGAATAGCTTTTCATTTCACCTTTTATAGGATCAGAGAAAAATCATGATCTACGATTGATCGATCGATCTATCGATCTTCGAGTATATTCCGCGTTGTTGGATTGACAAGAAATGAATAATAAGAAAGATACTAAAAACAAAGACGTTTTACGAATAAAATACTAAAGGGGAAAGGTAGAAAAATCCTTCGTTTTATGAATACTTTCAACGAGAGGAAGGAATTCAGGTCTGTTGATTCCGACCGGTTCGCATTCTCGTAAAACGTTTGACTTATGGCAGTGTCTTCTTTCAAACGTGTCAATGAAAAGTTAAGAAAAATTGGAACGATCTAACGAATGTGCGAACAAAAAATTGCTGAGACAGGAAATCAAGAAAAAGAGATAGATGGATAGATAGATAGTGAAGATAAAAACATATAGTTCGATTTCGAATGATTTCGTTTATCCTGACTTATTTAAAATACGAAGGAAAAACAAAGAAAACGTTAATAAATACTGACAACCCTCCTACCCCTTTCCAAACCCTGTCAACGGTATTTCTTGTTTAAAATATTCTCTTAATTAAATATAATCTTTGACTCAATTTTA